GTAATACTGCATATTCTGCAGGTATCTTGCTTTCTTCTAGCTTCCTGATTACAGTTGAAATGCAGTCTTCAATAATTAAGCATGTAAATAGTGACTGAACGAAACGTCGCGAATTAAAATAAGTAAATTAAACGCGATAAAATCCGTTAACATAGTTTTATTCAATGTGTAATGTTCGCGTAAATATAAGAAATCATTTTGCCAGACTTTTTCAAAAGGTTCAAAACTGTTTTGTGGTCAATTCTCAATTCCTGGGCTATGCCGTAACTACTAATATGCAGATCTTGCTCCACTTCAAAAATGACATTGACTTTGTCCGTATGAGGGCGACATCTAAATATCTATCTATCTATATCTGACATCAAAATTCCCAGACTGAAAACGCTCCAACCAACTTTGTAAAACTCTTACTGACACTGCATTAGGTCCATAAACGTCACAATGTTTTTTCTCGGCTTCCCGCATCCCGAGTCGCATTTTTCCCTTTTTTGTAATAAAACTTCATACTATATCGAATTTCTTCGTTATATTCACTCATTTCGGCGGACAGAAAAACAATTGAAAAATGTCGGGAAAGTGTTTTTTTTTTTTTAGTTTTTTTTTTCTTAATGTCCTATATTATGTATTGATATTAAAACCAGCCAGATACAAACAGTACAACCAAAGCGATTTTTCTTCAATTTTATACGACCTTATTGTGTACTTGAAACTGAAATACAGTTTGCTTTCTAAACAAACCCAAAAATGTCATTAGTTATTGTCGAATTTCGACTACATGTATATTATGTGTATAAAGATGTGTTTAAGATTTTTTAATAGAATAAGTGTGACAAATGTGTACACAGTCCATCTGATGATAAGTGCATGCTGTGGCTCATAGACATCTATTAAATATTACTCGATTAAATATGAAAATGCAGATGTGTTGTCACCCCCGCACACTAAGCTGGAATTCCTCTTTTCAAGTAAAAAGGGTCTACGTATCTCTATACTCACCATACTAAACACAGCAGCCTTAAGCTGCTATTTTACGCTGGTATTCTGTGATAGCGTAGTCCCTACCTCAGTCGAGCCCGACACATTCGTGCTACAACTAATATTGCAACAGCTTGGTTTTACCACGTAAAAAAGATGAAACATTTGGTGCAATCCCACTGTGTGAATAAATAATACAATAAAAATTTAAAAAAAATGTAGAAATAGGTCGCCACGCAAATGTTTCATTAGTACATATTGCATTTCTACTTCTAAATATCGGAACTTGCACCGCTGTGTTCCAATTTAGTGAGTGAGATAGTCGTACGTTACAAGGTCCTTGATGTGATCCTTGGAGCCTCAAACGAATACAAAGCGCTCTATTTTTGAATAGTGTTTACTAAGGAGACAGATTCTACATTTTTCCAGCCGCAATGATTTGTTATTTCTCTATTTTACAGTCTTAAGAGAAAAATAGCTTCTAAAATTGTTATTAACACATAAAATAAGAAGTTGATAAGTTGCAAAGTACACCATATTTTTCTCGAAATTTCAATATTTGATCGCGAATGAGTAATCTTGATTGATGATGCAAAGCAGCATTACCAATGTAACGAGACCGCTTTGTGCTAACTAACCCACTGGCCAAGCATGGTGAAGTGCAACACATTCAGTTTTTTTAATTTAAATAATAAGGAACGTCAAATTTCAGTTAAGTAGTACCATAGAATATATTGTAGTATGCTATGAGTATTACTTACTTATTGTACAGAGATAAATTATATTAATCTATTTAAAAATATGCCTCAGTTCTATTTTATTAAATGCAGTCTACAGAGTAAAATTTTCTTGAACGACGAGAAAAATTCTAAACATGAAACATTTCAGCTTGGCTTAGACATGTTCAAATATAAAATTGATTGAACCATTATTCTTTCGAAATTTCTATTTCAAATATCACAGAAACTGTTTGAGTTATTTTATATTAAATGCCTCTCTTTGCACAAATGTGATGTCATTACTTGGCACCGCTGAAGGAACTGTAGCACAACCTACATTTGACGGAATAAAAGTGGACTTTCTCATAGTCTATAACCACAAAAAATTACTACTTCTCAGTCATCTATATCAATCTGCTGAAGTATGTGTATCTGGTTTAAGGAAGTCTTTTGAAGATCCGTTTTTCGTTTTCATTACCATCACATTATTTTATGAGTAGGTAAGGTTATCCACGCTTAAAATTATCGTATCAGAATATTTCTGTTTATATTCAAATAACCATACACACACAGCAATACTCCTTACACGCCAACTCAGACATTTAACTTACATGATATTTTAAAAGAGTGAGGACTAAGATTAAATGACTCACAGCCTGTGTTTATACTGGTTTTCTTACCCTTCAAACACACACATAAGCACAGCAATATGTGTATTGCAGTTTCGCGACAGAAATAGGTATAAGTGTTTTTTTTAATATATAGAAATAGGGCGACAAACGAGCACACAGTCCACCTGATGGTAAGTGGTTGCTGAGGCCCATAGACATCTACATCTATCCTCGTTTGCGAATCAAAATGCAGATGCGTTGTCAGCCTTGAGGACTAAGATGGAATGCATATTTTCCAGTAAAAGGGTCTCCGGTTCTCTACACTCACCATACGAAACACAGCAGCATTTAGCTGCTATTTTGCGCTGGTATTCTGTGAGAGCGTGGTCCTTCCCCGGTCGAGCCGACCCATTCGTGCTACAACTATACTATAAATATAGCTGCAGCTTGGCTCTACCACGTAAAAAGTGTGGCATTGATATTAATCTAGACGCACTCTAGATTAAAGTACTTCTTCCTGCCTAAGAGTCGGTCTGGGTACGTACCACCCTGTTATCTATTCAAGCCGCCAAATAACAGTGCGCACTGCACTGTGTTCAAGTCTAAAGAGTATAAAGAGAAAGTATAATTACACGTCGTGAGGCATTCAAACTCAGTTCACTCTTAGAGATGACACTGCATCTGTAGCCTTTTTTATTTGAAGTTGGTTGCAGGTGTCCTTGCGCTGCGGTAGCCACTTAACATCTGGTGGACTGTAAGTTCATTTGCCATTTCAATTTTATAGAAAATATCGTAAACAGAAACAGAGCACTACCACTTTATATACTTAAACTAGCTCGCCAGGCAGACGTTGTTCTGCCCTTTCCAACGACCCTTCCTATAAAAATCCTTAAATTCGCAATAAAAATTTTTGAGGGTCATTTAGCGGGATAAAAACTATCCTATCTCTCAAGTTTGCACCAAAATGTACACATTGTGCAAAATTTCATTGAAATCAGTTTAGTAGTTTAGGAGTCCATCGCGGACAAACAACGTGACACGTAATTTTTATATATAAAGGTTATCTTAAATGTACTTCACATGTACAAGTACAATATGTATTAATTCATTCATGTAGCATATTTAACATTGTTAATTTCTAAACAGAATATTGTCAGAACCTATAATAGATTATATTAACATTCTAAATGCTTTATCTTTAACTACAGTATTCATCGTGATCGCATTAGGATATTTCGATACAATGAACAGGTACGAATGTAATCCAATTGTGCCTAAATGATAATATATGTAACTGGCATATTGGTTGTGTATATTGCCTTGAATATTTATCTATTAGATTTGTGCAAAACAAGTACCGACGTGGAATTAAAGAGTGCTGGATTGTCTGATTAATTTATGTTATGTAATAATTGGTTATATAAGATAGACTATTGGCTTTTATATATATTATGAAACATGTTATTCATAAGATACTTATGTTTACAATTATATTTGTAACTGTTATATTTTTGCAGCAAAAGATTTAGGAATTATTTTAATGTATATATGGTAGTCCTAGATGGTCACATTTCCGCCACGATAGTCCTCTTTCCGACTGTTTCCGAACAGACTTATAAATTGCGCTGTTCACAAGTCGTTATAGCTAATTCCTATGTGAGTTGCCTTTAGATAATATATCACAATTTTTCTTCTTGTTTATCCTGTCGATTTCGTAACAGATGACTAAAGAAAAATAATGTGTGTGTGTGTGTGTGTGTGTGTGTGTGTGTGTGTGTGTGTGTGTGTGTGTGTGTGTGTGTGTGTGAACAACAACAACAAACAGATAATTTCCTTAGAAAAAAGTAATGTAACGGACTGACGTGAGACATTATGATCATGATTTTTGCCCTTTTTATTCTACGTGATATAGCCACGCTTTCTACGTTGTAGAGCCACGCTACAGCTATGTTATAGTTGTAGCACAAATGGGTCGGCTCGACTGCGCTAGGTCCACGCTCTCACAGAATACCAACGTAAAATATCAGCTTAATGCTGCTATGTTTCGTATGGTGAGTGTAGAGAACCAGAGATCCTTTTTACTGGAAACGAGATATTCCATCTTAGTCCTCAGGGGTGGCAAAGCATCTTCAGTTTGATTCTCAATCGAGGATAGATGTAGATATCTATGGGCCATCAAGTCCAGTTACCATCAAGTAGATTGTGTACTCGTTTTTCACCCTTTTTCTATAGAAAACACTGCTCCAGAAGCAAGGTAATGTTTTCGGTGTATAGACATACATACGTACGTCTATTTCTTTGGCACGCTCTGTAGTCTGTAGGTTTGATGGATCTTAACATATGGGTGTCGCTAGAATCGTTTCAGTTGTAAACGTGATATAGGATATAAAACTTTTCTGTTTTCAGTAAACTTACTTAAGCAGTCGGGGTTTTTCAATTACTGTTTCAACCTTGGGACTTGTTTATTAACAAATATTTTTTTTTGTAATCCAAATCAGTGCCCGTAAAAACATGCAAATGAATGAAATATTGTTAAACAATAACATATTAACCGCCTCGGTTGCCACACGTTTTCTATTACATACGTGTCGCTGCATCCGCTAAAAGCGAATTTCATATTCCAAGTGCGGAGTGACACAGCCCGTGCATGTTATTTAATCATGTGTATTATCTAAAAGCAATGTTCTGACATTAGTTCTGGGCGGCGTATGTACCTTGCGATGCGCAGCACCGCGACGCCGTACAGCTCACCTTTGAACAAATAGACCTCATACAACGCCTCACCGACAAGTATCATCCGCAACTCACGCTCTGTACCTCCGCCTCAGGTAAGTATTTTAGTACTTTTATATGCATTCCATTGCCAATATATAGATAGGCACCTAAGCGATAAGCATTGTATTAAAGAGTTTTTAGATAAAAATCACTTTCACTATGTAGCTATATATGTATAAGCTTATTTTATAAGTCGTGAATAATGTCAAGTTTAGTAATGAGTAAAGCCACCATTAATCCTCGTTGGCAATTAAAATTACCAGTTAACAATTACAAATTTCCCGATAAATGTTATCATGTCATAGGTAGTTCAAAAGCACATCGTTTTTTTAATGCTAAGAGTCAGAAACATTTAAAAAAGGTATTTTTCAACATTATAGCAGAAAGGTTTTTACTAATCCGTCTTGACAGTACCCTGACCTATAAAAAAAATAGAGGAAAAAAAGGTAGACCATTTTGTTACCTATTTCTGCCGCCTCTACTGTTGTGTTTCGATATGAAGGGTATAAAGAACCATCTTAGTTCTCAGAGGTGACATCAACTCTGTGGCTTTCTTTGATTGAAGTTAACTGCAGGTCCATGGACTGCAGTGGCCACTTACCATATGGTGGACTGTTAATTGGTTTTTCACTTCTCTTTTATGAAAGAAATGGAAAAAGCGTTTAATTGAAAACATATTCCTTAAGCGTGCTTAGAAAAAGCGTAAAAAAGTGTTTTAAGTAGTTATGCCCGCTTCTATTAATAGTTATTCTCAAAGCGCATGAATTAATTATTTAAAAAGTGCAATAGGTAGTATTTAAAAAAAGTTTTGCTTAAGGCATAACCTAAGGAACGGAACAATTAAAGGAGTAAAAATATATTGTATAATATTTTTGACTTCCAACATTAAAACTATTCCTAATGTGTTGAACATTAGGAATAGTTAATAGTTAATTTATACAGACGAAATTGATCGGCAGATTATTGTTTTGACGGGTGTGTACGTTGCTGCAGTATGATAAAGAATTATATTATTTTTTAATTAATTTAATTAAATTAGTTATAATTAATTAATAAAAGATTAATACTAAGAGTATTATAAAAAATACGATTTTACATGATATTTTATGCTTTTTAAGTATTATTAAAATAATAGTTAAAATTTGAGCGACAAAGGTTAAGCTTGTAAAGCTTCCTACTTTAACCTATTTTCCTTTAACAATGTTGCCTATCAAAAATTGTTGATCTAAAGGAAAACCCATTTTGAAAGTAATCTCCACTTAACTAGGAATAAATTTAACTCTATGCGGTATGTTTTCCTTTTCTTTAAAATGCAATTTCTTCAACATTTTGTCGCTTGGCAATTATGTTAATTAATGAACAAAATAAAATTTCTCTCAGCGAAAGCTTTTATTTTCCACGAAAGCTTTTCATGTAAAAGATATTTAGCTGGCGCAGAGCAATTTAATTCTCAAATATTACTTCTACTGCAAGAATTAAGTTTTATTAACTTATTTTTTATATGCTAGCCACATGATGAATGGTAAAATCATTTAAAACCAATCAAATAACATAATAAAGTCCTATATGCACACTTACCTCACTAAAAGAATGTATTAGAATAAAGCACACTCCTGTCTGCTGTAATAACTTTACTTACTTAAACGGACTCCTGCATAGAAGTAAATTATATGGGCCGTTTGTTAAACATTGGAATAGGTACCATGCACCCAGCAGCGATGGTTTATTTTAGCTGGTTTCTTAACCAACGAAACAATGATAAACAAACCACTCACTTGGTATCTATTAGCTGTATATATGTGCATGCAAGAGCAGGCACGTATAGACAGCTAAATCGGGGATATCTTCTCTCCATCTAGAAGGGTTCAACAGAGCCCCAAAACATATCACCATTGAACAAAGCAAGTGGTAAAGTACAAAAACATACCAATTACAGTCTAAACAATAAAGAAGGCACAAAAATACAAAAACAAATAATTTACCAAACACAATAATTAAGATGGCCGATATTAATAATCAATTATAAAGGTCTAGCTTGAATAACACACATCAATCCCGTCGCTTTACTTGTGACATATTGCTGTCCTTACGAATAGGGCCAAGAAATTGAAACAAGAGGAAATAGATACTTTTTTTTTTAATTCAATGTAGATTATAAATAAGAATACTTATTGAAAGTGACTCTTTTTTAATTTACCAAGTTTTTAAGTATACTACTCATTCCTTGAATAGGAAGAGAATTATCCAGCAATAGTTTTAATTGAAAAATAAAACATATGCCACTTCCATGAAATTAAGAAAACCTCACACGATTTGCATCAGATCAACAACCGCTCTCGTATTTCTGATTTAGTCCGTTACCACTTCTTTAAGCACCTGATTATTCCTGATTTATCAGATTTTGTTTGAGAAGTACTGAGTATTTACCTCCCTCGTTGATCTAGTGGTTATAAGCGCGACCGCCGATTATTTGGTCCTAGGTTCGAATCACGGGTCGTGCCAAAATTACTTGTGTGTGTGTGTGTGTGTGTGTATGTAAATAAAATTTTATAAAATAACAGCATTTAAAATTGCAGTGAACAATAATCAGCATTTTCGGCGGAGATCGTACTTATGGTGCTCACGAACTATGAATATCCAAGTCCTACAATTTAGAGGATTTCACAAAACTTCAAATAACTTTTAAAACAATGAATAGTCAGAACATACATGAGTGAAGTCGATAGGTATTACGGTCCCCTACTTCGGATGATTGAATATACCACATAAAAAGCTTAGACTATTTGTGGCTAACTTTATACTTATTATTTAATAATATATTACTTTTCGATAATTACTGTAAAAATAATGCCTAAATGATATTTGAAGTAGTGTAGAAACGGTTCTTGAAAATAGCATTACCATTACCCAGTTCGTTACCATCGCTTTAATAAAAAAAATTATTTAACAAATTTTACAATAATAATCCTACCTACTAAGGAAGTTTTCTTAATTGTAACGCCTATCATGAACGATGCTTTATTCTTTTTAGCAAACTCATCACTTCACTCTGTGTGAAGTGTGAACGCAAACTTTTTGAATATTTCAAAAGATGTAAAAATAGAAGGAATTCACGGAAGCAAATGAGCGACCGCTGTTAGTGCTGTCGCCCTTTGATATTTTATGATTTTAATTAGTTGACGGTCAGTGTCAAAGCCATGAAACGTATATAAGTGGATGAAAAGGTCTAGGGCAGTGGATCAAGCCGAGCTCCCCCGCTTAGTAATTATTTTGCAAAATAGATCACTGCGTTTCATCAGACATTGCTAAATTGAAAATCGTATTAGAACTATTCAAAGCTCCGGTAGCCAGGTACGTTTTGTAACACGACAAAGGGTTTAAATTTTTGTCGAATTTCATCTTATTGCCACATTTCTTGAAATAAATATTTATAATAGTTTAAGTACGTATGTATGTTATGTATCATGGAATGCAAGATTATTAAATGTTACTAAACATTTATATATTTTCAGATATTTTGGCAGCTCATGCAAACCATCGCCTTTGTTCCCTGGTGGGCGTGGAAGGTGGTCATGCAATCGGGGGATCTCTCGGCGTCTTGAGAACCTTGTATCAAGTTGGTGTACGCTATCTGACACTAACATCTACTTGTGATACACCTTGGGCGGAATGCGCCTCCACAGATCGAGTTGATTCCACTCAAAGAGGTGGATTGACTCCATTTGGTAAGGTGAGTAACAAACTGTAAAATTTATTTATTTAAGATTATAATAAATAATATACACTTACGTTAAATTTTAAATAAGTAACTTAATTAATTTTTAAATTCATATATGAAATACCATTTTTATTTTTCTTGTTCATCATCGGCCCGTTTAAATCTACTGCTGAATATGTTTAGGAGAATAAAAATTCTTTAGTAAGGTATTATTTATACTTACTTGCTAATCTACTGATTACGTAAATTTAAAATATTACAACTTTTCTAATATCTATAACATCTATTATGTATAATTTGTACACACCTTAACAAATAACCATTAATAGTGTCCTAATTTAAAAAGGTCTTTTTTCTGAATTCAAATGCGGAATGCGTTTGTTATGTAGCAAAGAACATATAACTATAAAGGAAACTTCGGTCGATTTGCCGCCATTCCACACATTAAATTCAGACCAACAAGGAAAGTAAGACGTAGCGCTAAGTACATTTCAAGTGACGTAAAAACAAAGACAGAACAATGTTCAACTTATTGTTAGAACACGCACTCGTATGCGTATGTGCATCTAAAATAATTTACAACCAATATTTTTAACCGTGGTTTAATAATAACTTTATGTAATGTAATGTTTATGTTTAACGTTTATAAGTGTCCGTCCAGCTGTGAGCTTTTACGGGAGGATAAAGCAACAAGAAGAAAGATGTGTGGATGAGTGCGAGTGAGTCAAGAAGTTGAACATAATTTCGGAATCACTTGAAATGTATGCAACGCTCCGTCTATCTTTCTTTGTTGTTCTGAGTTATTAAAGATTAAATTCGCCAGGGTTATTTGTCGAAAACCATAAAAGATTTGGGTAGCTCAATCCTGTTAGGAACAGATGGGCTGTTAACGCTGTGTTAACTTGCGTCCATACTTGGTACATAGATAAAGTAAAAAAAAAATATCTATGCCGCGTAGTAGCGGCGAATGAGAACCCATTTCCACAATTTCTTTTTGCTCTTAGATTCAAGTAAAGGGCTACGGTAAGCGGGGGAGGGAGGTGGTGAATGCTCTTAGCATACCATACAGCCGGCTGCGTGGTTATGTGGGACTCACTATGATAAACCTAAGTGCCTACCCACTAAACACCACCTGGGACTGGCTTTGGCCTGGTAGACCTTTCTGCGGTATAGGAAGCGACCCCCCTTGGGGAAAGGGGGCGCGGATTTCCACAAATCGTCCAGTTGCCTTAACTATTCTTAAGAAATCACAGAGAGAAACTGAAACAAGAGATGGACAGCAGCATCTTCCTAATAAAAATGGAAAATAAAAATAAACAGCGGTTGCCAACCCGCCTGCAAAGTCTGTAAATATGTTCAAAGGTGGAGTTTTGATTGGCTATGATGATGATGATGATGATGATGAAATTATAAAACTACTAATAAATAATTCATTACTGTACACAAACAATATTATATTAAAAAGAGTTTCAGTCCATTATTAACCGACTTCAAAAAAAGGAGGAGGTACTCTATTTGACTCTATGTTTTTTTTATGTGTGTTACTTCAGAAGGTTTTGTTTAGTTGAACCAATTTTAATGATTTTTTTTCTATTTGAAAGCTGGTGCTTCCCATGTGGTCCCATATAAATTTGATCAAGATCTGACCAGTAGTTTTTGAGTTATCCTTAATAATGCGTATTTAATTGACTTTGAGGACATTGATGATGTTCTCATCTGCCGACTTCCAAAAAGGAGACGGTACTCAATTCGACTGTATTTTTTTTTGTTTTTTTTTTATGTGTGTTACCTCGTAACTTTTTACTGGGTGGACCGATTTCGATAATTCTTTTTTTATTTGAAAGCTGGTAATTCTCGTGTGGTCCCATATGTTCAATTTGATCAAGGTCAAGCCAATATTTTTTGAGTTATTCTTAATAACTTATATTGAAGTCGGCTGTACAAAATTTTTAATTTTAAATTATTTTATGTATTCATTTCATTTCGCCTTAATTTCTCAAACATCTAGGAGTTCAACCTATTAAACACGTAAATGCAAGCAATATATACAAGGACATATGTTACTCATGCTAGAAAAATAATAGTCTTACGAACATTCGAAGTAATAATATGGTAGGTAGGTACTAAGAACAAAACCGTAAAGATTGAGACGTCAAGTAGAGTGAGTGAGCCATAATCATAAACATCCTGTGCCACCGCAATATTTTTCTTTGTATGAACTCAGACTGCTCGGAGTCTTGCTGTTCTTTGTTTTACGTGCAACGATACTTTTCGAAACATTTTCTTTTGTTTGTGCCACTCACCGTGTAATATGCAAGTAAAAGTCACTTTCAACAATTTCATACTACAACCATTCCTAAGCTACATTTAGTATTATCAGCTATGTATACATATGTGTTGAATGTTGTTAATGACAGACAATAAATAAAAAAGTTATTAGAGTAACAAATGGTAATAGCTGTATTCAGGATTCAATGACTTCGCTTTACGTTAACTTTAAACAAAAGCTACGCGATAAAGTTGGAATGATTAATGCGAAACATACCACCTTCCGTTTTAAGTGAACAAATGCGGCTTTCATTTTAAATAACATTTTAACGAGACGTCATTTAAAATTGTAAGTATTATAAATTATTTCAATAACCAATTTCAAATACCATCGAATCTAGTTGTAATTTTCTGGAGCAGACATCGAAATAAATTCGCATTGATAACCTTCTCATTTGCTGAAATCGGTTAAGGAAAGTGGCGCGTGGTTATATAGTTCTCATCTCATACTCAAGCAATTTGGGATAACCTAAAGCATTAAGCACTAGTTTAAGTAAAGTGTTTGCATAAGTTATCTCGCACGTTCAGTTTAATTCTCTTTGTTTTACTGCTATATTTTGGCTTGGAATCTGGCAGGCATGTAGATTACGGGAATTAACCGTAACGTTAATAAAAAGCAAACAATATTATTATATTGGTGCATCGAACTGTATATTTAATCGCGATTACGGTAGATGTAAAATATCCAGATGTCGAAACGCCTGGAACTTTTATATTTGGTTCCGTATTCCGGCTGGAAAGTGTAGCTATTAGGGCATATCTCTCCAAATGGTAGAGACCCTGGTGAGGTGAAACAGTGAGCTGTAAATGATTAATGAAGTAGAAGAAAAATATATTATAAACATATTACGGGCTTTTTCACCTATTCAGCTCTTAAGACGTTCACGGGACGGGATGGCGTAAAATAATCTTTATTAATTTTACCTGGTAGAGCCATGCTGTAGCTATATTCGTAGTATAGTTGTAGCACGAATGAGTCGGTTTGACCGGGGAAGGACCACGTTCTCACAAAATACCAGCGTAAAATAGTAGCTTAACACTGCTGTGTTTCCTATGGTGAGTGTAGAGAACTGGAGACCCTTTTTACTGGAAAAGGGGCATTCCATTTTAGTCCTCACGGGTGACAACGCATCTGCATTTTGATTCGCAAACGAGGATAAATGTAGATGTCTATTGGCCACAGCAACCACTTACCATCAGGTGGACTGTGTGCTCGTTCGTCACCCTCTCCAAAAAAAAAATATATTATAAACATATTTGGGTATTTTCACCTATTCGGCTCTTAAGACGTTCACGTGACGGGATGGCGTAAAATAATCTTTATTAATTTTTACGTGGTAGAGCCATGCTATAGCTATATTAGTAGTATAGCTGTAGCACGAATAAGTCGGCTCGACCGGGGTACGACCACGCTCTCACAGAATACCAGCGTAAAATAGCAGCTTAACACTGCTGTGTTTCCTATGGTGAGTGTAGAGAATTGGAGACCCTTTTTACTGGAAAAGAGGCATTCCATTTTAGTCCTCACGGGTGACAACGCATCTGCATTTTGATTCGCAAACGAGGATAAATGTAGATGTCTATTGGCCACAGCAACCACTTACCATCAGGTGGACTGTGTGCTCGTTCGTCACCCTATCCTATAAAAAAAAATTATATTATAAACATATTTGGGTATTTTCACCTATTCGGCTCTTAAGACGTTCACGTGACGGGATGGCGTAAAATAATCTTTATTAATTTTTACGTGGTAGAGCCATGCTATAGCTATATTAGTAGTATAGTTGTAGCACGAATAAGTCGGCTCGACCGGGGTACGACCACGCTCTCACAGAATACCAGCGTAAAATAGCAGCTTAACACTGCTGTGTTTCCTATGGTGAGTGTAGAGAATTGGAGACCCTTTTTACTGGAAAAGAGGCATTCCATTTTAGTCCTCACGGGTGACAACGCATCTGCATTTTGATTCGCAAACGAGGATAAATGTAGATGTCTATTGGCCACAGCAACCACTTACCATCAGGTGGACTGTGTGCTCGTTCGTCACCCTATCCTATAAAAAAAAATTATATTATAAACATATTTGGGTATTTTCACCTATTCGGCTCTTAAGACGTTCACGTGACGGGATGGCGTAAAATAATCTTTATTAATTTTTACGTGGTAGAGCCATGCTATAGCTATATTAGTAGTATAGTTGTAGCACGAATAAGTCGGCTCGACCGGGGTACGACCACGCTCTCACAGAATACCAGCGTAAAATAGCAGCTTAACACTGCTGTGTTTCCTATGGTGAGTGTAGAGAATTGGAGACCCTTTTTACTGGAAAAGAGGCATTCCATCTTAGTCCTCACGCGTGACAACGCTTCTGCATTTTGACTCTTTATTGAGGATAGATGTGGATGTCTATGAGTCACAGCACCCACTTACCATCAGGTAGACTATGTGCTGGTTTGTCACCCTATCATTTAAAAAAAAATTTACGTGGTCACGGCGGATAGAAAATTTTAAGATGCAATAGTATGATTTGTTTACGCCGTCACTAAACGGCTTAAATAAATCCATCGCCTAGGCTACCATGAGAAATGCCAGAAAGATCTCATCGCATCCGAAAGATAGAAGAACTAAAATATTGAAACCGGCGAAAGGAAGCAGATGTATAAAGTGTGAAACGGCAGCTATTG